CGCAGTGGCGCTCTGGGGTGCAATCACGCACCTACTTATGCGTGGTGTGCGCGTTGCCCTAATCAGGGACTTCCCCTCTCGTGCTCCCGACGGCGCCGAGGCAGTCGCCCCCCTCGCGCCCGGCGCCACCGCCGCGGCCCCGCATTACCGAGTTCCTGTCTGAATATTCCCCGCCGCTGACACAGGACGGCGGCGCCCCATTGGCTGCGCGCTGGCCGCCGCTGGGCCGGGGCCGGGCCCTTGTGTGGCTGTCGCTCGCTGTCGCGGCTCCCGGCCCGGAAGCCGTTCCTGCAAGCAACAGGGCTGCTGCTGAGGCTCGCTCCCCGACAGGCCGCCAGGCCCCGCCCTAGCGCTCGGCTCCGGGCAGGGCGCGCTGCGCTGTTGAGTATATTCCGCTTCCGCCGGCCGTGCCGTCGCGCTAAATGTGCGCTTTATGACCCGCGCGAGTCTGGCGTGGGCCCGAGCCCGAGCGGCGCCTAGCGGGGAGCGACTTGCCGCCCGGGCTCTCTGTCTTGACTGGCGGTCGCCAGGTGGATGCTAGGTATGGTTTGCCCCGGCGTGTCGCAGCCAGTCTTAGGCCAGGATGTTGGGCCGACAACGTAGGCTGCTCCCATCACTGTAAAAAGCTTACGAACTAAATACTTTGCAACGTTACACACAATTCTCGTTCTTTGTATTGCAAAGAAATTGTTCGTATTGCAAAGCGATTGTTTGTAAGGCTAGACAGGGTCTTACGATCAATCGGTTTGCATTACGAACTATTTGTTCGTAAGCTTACGAACAATTAGTTTGCAATACAACGCTTCAAAATCCTTCGTAAAGCTACGAACGTTTTGGTTTGCATTACGAACCTATAGTTTGTAAGCAATTTACAGTGCTTACACGCCGGGACGTGATCGCCGCTCCTCGCCTTGGCCGCCTGTCGGGTCAGACATAGGCAGCCCCGCACTACACGCGTGGTTAACAGGCGTGCCTACCCACCAGGCGGCCTTCCCTATGCGGAATGTGTGCTTTGTTATAGCAAGGTTTGAAGGACATTCATACATTGTTTGGGGGATTCGCTCTTTGGTGGGGCTATAGGCAGGCAGCCCTACCTGACGACATGCGCGGCGAAGGGCGCTTTTCACGTCAGGGCGTAAGATAGGCAGCCCCGCACTACAGGCGTGCGCAACGGGCGTGCCTGCCCACCAGGGGCCTCGCCTGCGGCCTTTCTTGCTTCCGGCGTGGTGGGGTGGGGTGTAGCGCGGGGGCAAGCAGTGGGGCGTGGGGCCTGCCGGTCCTTTCGCCCGGTGACCCGCTGGGGTCACGGGTTCGCTGACCTGATGCTGCTGGTCCATTCCACCCATCCAATTTGCCCCTCCCCTTTCCTCTCCCCCTTTAGTATGTATCGACCCTGTTGCTTCCCCCGCCCTTCCCCGCTCCCTTTGCTCCTCCGGGTCCTCCCCGACCCCTTCGTCCGTCCCGGCCACCTCACTCTCCTCGCCCCGTCTCCCTCTAAATAAACAAGTGGTTATAATTAGTTTGTAAATACGGTTATTAATTTCAAGTTTTCTATAAATGAATCTAGTCTTTTTGTGTTTACATGTAATTTTGAATTTCTTTCAGGTGACAAATGTGGACCAGGTGCTGGCCTGTCACAGCGACTTCCTTTCCTCGTGCATAAAGGACTGCATGCTGACCAACCCAGGCCTCCTGAAGATGGTCAACGTCCTGATCGGGGTGTGCGTCTCCTTCTGTCGGTTCTTTGAGGTGAGTTGAGCTGCTTCCCCCATCCCATGCTCGAGGCATACCCCGCGCGTTCGTCCCCATTGCGGCGTGGAGTATAGCCGCGCAAGTTAAGTCTTTCCCGGACCGCATTATCATTTTATAACTATGAAAGCGGTGATGGATCTTTTATCTCTTACACATTCTGCTAATCCTTTATGCTGGATAGGCAATCGTAGTATATTAATAATCATGACCATGAGTCTCGTCTTGTCTCCGACCAGGTGGAGGGCCGTGCTGGTCATTCGGGCAACTACGCACACTTTCAACTTTACCTGCGTTGCACTCACTGTGCATGACTTGACTAACTGTCTGCTTATTTTAAAACCGAAATCTAATCTTTCCATTTTGTCTCTGAATTCATGCGTGTCTGCACGGTTTCGCTGAGCTCTTGACGATGCACGGCTTGAGTGGCGCTCCTCATCTTTCACCCCCCTCATCGCACAGTGTGTGTTTTTGTCTAACTTGACCCTCATTGAAACAGAATGCGCAGAAGTACTTCGTGGATGCCGAACTCAACTCGATGATAGCCCCATCCGATGCAGAGAGTGATGTCTCTGAGGTATTCTTTTCGACATGCTATAAGTGTTTTTAACCACTTAGCCCATTCTCCCGTTGATCACGCATATGCATAATCAATGCTTCATATGTATAAAATGATTTGTTTGATCATACAATTGTCTAAGATTAGAAGTTTACTTTTTAAACGCATGCTTTTAGAGTGTTTTTTTTTTTCTTTATTTTTAGTACTGCTGCATTTTGGGTTTCAGTCTAGACGTCTTATTCCTTCAGTTTCTTTGCATACTCCTTTATTATGGCTGCTGCTGCTGTCTGCTTTTTGTTTTTGTTTTTTCTCTTGCTCTTCTAGTACATAGAATTCTAGAGCATTGGCATCTTTCGGAATCTGTAGTGATCAACATTTTAGCATATTTCTGTTGTTGCAGGCTGCACCAAGCATTGAATGTTCTACCAGTGCTCTTGGAGAGAATTTTGAGGACTCCATTCGAAATTTTGATGAACAATTTTCTGCTGCTCTTATAAGTCTGCTTAATAAAATTGATGAGCTTGCAATGGAGGATAATAATGAAAAAATGCTCAATGTCCTGTACAGGTATGGATTCTAATTTGTCTTCCTAAATCTGGTCTTGTAATAGGCTCTGCATAATTTCGGTTTACTATTTTCATTTTCAGAATGGATTTCAATTCTTATTACACATCGTTTCTTGTACCAAGTGTCGGTGGATCATCGCAAACTGACCAAACAGGTGTCTCACACACTTCTGGTTAGAGATTACTATGAGGTTTTAAGTTATGTCATGAAATATCTTCAAATTTTAGCAGTAATGAAGCCATGTATTCGTTAGTTGTAGAAAAAAACAGAAATTACACTATTGTGAATAGTTTTAATAAATGCCATAATTTTAAATGTCCCTTGAACAATTTTAGTGTTAGTGCTGTATTATATCACAT